TCTAAAATTGATCCAGTCTCTTGAACTGTCACTTCCTTGATGTCTGGCAATGACAAGAGATATTCTTTGTACAAATCAGCTGCCACAGGTTCATTTTCAATACCAAAGATCAGTCCTTTGTGAGTAGCTGACCATTGTTTTGGGTGCTCCTTTTGCTGTAATTTTTTTTACTAGATTTTCTGGTAATTTTGACCCCTGTTTTCGCATATGAGGAAGGACATCTTTACAGATATTAGCAGTTACTCTGTTTTGCTTTTGTTCAATTCAAGCAGGATTCATTGATTGTCGTCTTGTTGCCATTTCAATTTGCATTTGCTTTTCTGTAAAAGTTTCAATAAATAATGTTTCTGTTTGGACTGTTGGCAGTTGTACTTCAGATGGATCAATTGTACTTTCAATAAAACTTGAAATATTCTGTTCTTGCTGTTGGTTATTAACATTACAATCTGATATCTACTGAAGCTGTAGCTTATCATAAGCATTAGAAAGAGTGCTAAGGGGTGCCGTTTCTGATTCACACTGCACAGTGGAAGGTGGAGCAGAGATTTCATGACTCAAACTTGATTTGAATTCAGTGCTTGCCCATATGAGACAGGATTCGCATTTTCTTTACCAGCAAGGGAGGGGCAAAAAATGGGGGCAAAACAGAAAAAAACCTCTGAAAATTGAGTGTTTTCATTCGGTGGGAAAGTGTCTAAAATCGAACTACACGAGCTTGCTTGTTGGTCGATCAGCTCAGTCTGGACTGTTTCGATATTGAGGGTCTTTAGCTTTTCAACCTTTCCTTTCGTGTAGCTCCTCTCAGGATCAGGGTTGTAAACTTTCTCTCTGTAGTACCGAATCGTGTTGAATGCCTTAACCCTGCCCCCAAAAAGAAAAGATTTTAGCGAAAACGAAATTCTTTTGACTAGCGTGGAAGGTTAGATAACAGTGTTTATGTAATACAGGTGCTGCGAAACTTACTTTTCGACAAGATCTTTCTTCAGTCCCTGTTGGTTCAGTCTTCTGCATTTCAACCAAAATTTCAATTGTGGAATTGTCCATTTACTTATGTCTTCTCCATTTTTCACGGATGAACATGAAATGTCTTCTGGTATATGGATTGTCTTCGGAGGGTTATTTTGACCATGCAACTTTAAAGAAATTATATCTCTGTTGTTATTTATAATTCCATATAAAGCTATACCTCATTGGAAAGGGCAAAGATTAAACTTTCAGAAAAAAATATTTCAGTCTCAGGAAACCCATAATATTTAGCCAAAAAAAAATTAACAAGGCATATTTCTGCCAAAAAAATTTTCCAAATTTATGAAGAATGTCATTTTGCCAGAAATGTGTCTATTTTGTGTAATATGGTAGTAACAAAGTTTTTTCTTCAATATCTAAGCAAAACGACTCGAAAATCGTTCGAAAATATAGAGCAACTTGGAATTTTCTACAATTTATTTTGAGACGCTATCAGATTATGCTAATCGGATGATCATAATTAGCATAATGATATTCTATACATCGGCGTCCCTAGTGCTCAAGTGGTTTACTTTACACAGACGCTTGTTTTCTTCGGTTTCCATCGAAATATCGAGTTAAAGACCAACCCTACCCCGGTTCTCTCCTACCGGGGTAGGAGAGAACCGTGGGAACGAGGTTGGTTAAAGACAAACAAGCATGAATTTGTTGATATAATTCATCAAAATAAGCAAGGATTTGACGGCAAAAAGCTAAGCGAAGGCCAAGCGGGAAGGAATTCATTGCGTTTTAACCACAGGCGGCTCAAACTCACGTTGCGAGAAAAGGTTGTAATGTAATTTACATAACATAGGTGACGCGCCGGTGTCGCGTTACAAGCGACCGTTGAAAATATAAGAGACTTTGTATGAGAAATATATTACTGAGATCTGCGAACGCTAAATAACGCTAAACCTTACATTTTCTTAAATGAAACGAATAAAAAAGTCTTATCTGCAATCTATTCCACTGCGTTTTGGTGTCTGTTTGCCAATGATTTTGCAAAATTTCAGTGCACAGAAGATTGAGAATATAAACGAGTCTTTGGCTAATTTATCTACACCATCCGTACCATCTCTACCTGCTACTGACATTACTTGCCTGAAAGAACAGTTTACCGGTTTCAGGACTCTCTCTCAAGAACAAGTGCGCAAGTTGATTAGTAGAGCAGCGGGTAAATCTTGTCAACTCGACCTCATTCCCACTCTGATTGTTCTCAAGTTGCTGGATGTTCTATTGCCAGTTATCACTAAGCTGATCAACCTGTCTTTTGACACCGGTCGACTTGCTGAGGCCTGGAAAGAGGCGCTTGTGTTACCATCTCTCAAGAAGCCTGGTTTGGACTTTGCGTTCAAAAAATTTCCGTCCAGTCAGTAACCTCTCTTATATTTCTAAATTGTCGGAGAGGGCTGGGGCTGAGCAGTTTATGGAGCATCTGACTGCCAACAATTTACATTCTCTGCTTCAATCGGCGTATAAACAACAACACAGCACGGAGACGGCCTTACGTAACGTTAAAAATGATATTTTGATGTCTATGGATGAGCAACATGTCACCTTGCTGGTATTATTAGATTTAAGTGCAGCATTTCACACGATACATCATGATAAGCTGATTGGTCGTCTTGAGTCTGATTTGGGAATAACTGACAATGCGCTTGCCTGGTTAAATCGTATCTATCTGACCGGTTCCAGCGAGTCTCTGTAAATGGTAGTCTCTCAGATCAGTTTTCTTTAAAACAACGTGTTCTTCAAGGATCATGTTTGGGCCCCTTGCTTTTCACTATCTACACGCGCAAACTGTTTCAGATCGTTGAACGCCACCTCCCACAAGTTCACTGCTACGCGGACGATACACCGTTGTATGTATCATTCAGCCCCAATCGATCTGCGAATGCTGATTTTGCCATCAAGTCCATGACTGACTGTATCAGTGACATTAGGAGTTGGATGAGTTCAGATAATCTTATGTTAAACGATGATAAAACAGAATTTTTAATTATAGGTACTAGGCAGCAGCTGGCCAAGGTTAACATCAATTGCATTAGGGTTGGGTCGACTGATGTTTGTCCTGTAACAGTAGCTAGAAACCTAGGCTCATGGTTTGATTTACCATTTGCATAATATCAAACGCATTCGCAAGTATTTGTTTCGAGAATCAACGGAAATGCTTGTCCATGCATTTATTACATCTCGTGTTGATTATTGTAACAGTCTTTTGTATGTGCTGCCCAACTACCAGCTTAACAAATTGCAGGCTAGTTTGTAATGCCCCTAGGTTTTGCCACATCTCACCCCTTCTTCGTGGTCTGCATTGGCTTCCTGTTAAAGCCCGGATAGAATTTAAGATACTTCTTATTACGTTCAAAGCAATTTACGGCCTTGCTCCTAAATATCCATGCGATTTACTAACATTTAAATCGTCCTTATATAACCTTAGATCTTCAGGTAGTATTTTACTTTCTATGCCAGCTGCTCGATCGAAGACGTTATGTGATAGAGCTTTTATGGTAGCAGGGCCAACTCTGTTCCAAAACAACTTCTTGCGATTACTAATGTGAACAGTTTTAAGGCGCATATTAACTCTTTTTAAAACTTTATATTGGTGAGCAATTTTATATTCACTTCTTACTTGCATGAATATATATTCTTTTTTTGTTTTTTTGTTTATTTTATTTTATTTTATTTTATTTTTTAAATGCATTATCTTTTATTTGTTTCTTTTAAGTAATGTAGTTGTAATGCGCAGCTAATCATTCTCATGTTAAGCTGCGCACAATAAGTCCATAAATTATTATTATTATTATTTTGTTTGTCGTTTTACTGTTTTTTTTTTGGGCTTTATTGCGTAACCGCTGTTAATCCTATAATAGAACGAAGTGAAGGCTGGTCACTTCGATCTGTCGGGATCCTGGACCAGTCGCAACAAAAATGCGGTTTTTTTCGCCGAAATTCAAATCCGCTGCAAATTTTTCAGCTCCAGCCCAAGAAGGAAACCTTTTCTTCCTCTCTGGGGGATAAGCTCGAAAAAAAATCCATAATTTCCCCCAACAAATCGAGCCATTTGTGCCGGACTTCGAGGCACGTCTGGCTTTCGTCCAGTGCCTGTGACCACTGTTGCGCCTACCAAGTAATTTGCATTTGAAATTGGAAACCTTGCTAGGGTGACAATTAGCACTTACGCGACGGGTGCAAGGGCAGAAATGACCCGTTAACTAAGCTTCTCGCCCCACCACGCCAAGGGAGTGAACACGCGATCTCTCCCTCGAGATTTTTTGAGATAAAATGTTTCTGGCTAGAAAAAGAGTAAAAACTGGACAATCTTGACGTTCTGCAGTTATCTATAGAAATAACGAAGCGCTTTGGAATTGCAATTTTCCCCCATGGTAGTGGAGAAACTGATTTTTTACAAGGCAATAGACCATGTTCGAGTTGCCTGAAGCCTCCGTTTCAAGGCAACGCTAAGTGCAAAGCAATTAATGTGAATTTCATTTTTATTCGCATGCAAGTAAAAGTCTATTTTCGCGACAAAGGTTTTTTTACTTATATCCTTGTTTTGAATGTGAGAGTTTTTGGAACTCGGAAATGGCCTATGATAAAGCTTTGCCGACCTATTTGATAAGTGGTTTGAATCTAGCGAATATATTGCATAGATTTTGTTGCATGTTTGAAGTGTCCATAAGCTAAAAAAATTATTTTTTTAATTGAAAATTCACATTAACCACAGCGTGTGCGTGTGTGTGTTTTAAACTTATCTCAAATTTGCCTTCATTTTGCCACCCCATTCATCTAAGTCTTCCTCTCGGGAGCCTCCTGGACCGTGAAAGGAGCTGAGACGTACTAAGGATCAAAGAACACGTGACCTTAGATAAAAGTAAACAAGTGTGGAGTGCTAGAAATATTTCTTCCAATTCACGAACTGAAACTGCTGTTAAAAAGTTACAATTAGTTTATGAGTTTTCGATTGATTTGTTTTGAAATAGGCAGAGCACAAGATGGAACTGAGCGATGCAGACGTGAGCATTGTAACCGTACTGTACGCCTTTACGATGCTTGCAGCTATTGTGGGCAACTCTTTTCTGATATATATCGTGTGGAAAAAACCTGAGGTACGGTCACTGACAAGTTCTATGTTCGTCAACATGGCCATAGCCGATCTATTGGTGGCCCTGTTCATGATGCCTCTTTCCATTGTCGACGCTCACACGGAAAGTAAGTGGAAGGTACCTGGGTTGCCTGGTGACATCATCTGCAGGAGCTATATTCTAATTTCCTATGCCACCCTCATTGCGTCTACCCTCTGCCTGGTTTTTATGGCGATCGACAGGTACTGCGCCATTGTCTGTCCTCTGTCGGTCCACTCTGTGTGGTTCAGAAAGGCGAAATTTGTCACACCTTTGATCTGGGTTATGTCAATCGCTCTAATGGCTATCATGCCTGTCATCTACAAATTAGATTATGAATACTGCGAAATTGACCCGGATGTTTTGGGCCAGAACGCGACATTTCGTGGTGTTTACCTCTACATTTTCTTCATCACCTACATAATTCCTCTGGCCATCATATGTCCGCTGTAGGCGAAAGCTGCTCGTAAGCTATGGTTTAACCAGGCTCCAGGCAATCATCTGATTGAAGAACCACAGCGTCGACAGCTGGTTACAAGGAAAGTGGTCCGCATGCTCGTCATCATTGTTGTGGTGTTTGCTATTTGTTGGCTTCCCGCTCAGGTATTACACCTTTTCCGGGTAGCAACAAATTTTCGTGAAAACCCGCCAGCAATTATCATATACCTGGGATTTTGGGTGGCCTACGCAAACAGCGCCATCAACCCTTGGCTGTATATTGCCTTAAGCACCAAGATTAGATTGGCCTTTAACCGGATGGTAACCTTCCGAAAATCTCATCCGGCCTTGAGGAAAAGTACCCAGGGAACGAGTCACTCAGTTAAAGCCTCGACATTCCAGGAGGCTTGGGTGTAGTCATACGAACCAGGAGACCAAGAGTAGAAGGCATATGATTTTCAGCTAGCAAGTTGTTTCAAGGACATTTAACCTTTGCCTTTTTGATTCACGCAATAACTAAAGATTACTTAATGCAGTGGGTAAGTAGTGGATGAAATAGAGATAAAGTCATCGACCAAAAAATTAAAATAGAGATTCCCTTGATGATTTTTGCAGGTAAATGTGGTATTAGTAGAAGTTTTTTTAACGTAATTATTGGTTCAATATGTAAAGTACGGAATGTTTTCTTAAAAGTAAAAGAGCCTTGTAAAATGCCATTTTAAACTGTAATGAGAGCTTGACATATATCGGAGTAATCGCATTTTAGATCTATATTGGCCCAGTGCACTTACGCACTTTGAAATAACCTACTAAATTTAGTTTACTAACTGTTTTGTTGGATAATGTATTAAATAATGTATTGATTAAAAACACATAAACAAACAAACAAACATTGATGATGACATGTAACTTAACATAGGAAATAGATGCTAGTTGAAAGTCTTCAGCTTTGAGTAAATGAAAACCATGCGATGTCTGAGTATGTTTTCTTCGGGTCACTTTTCTTTGCATCCACTGTCCATTATCGGACATCTAATGGAGCAATTGGCAGGGGCATGGAGTCTCTGAGTCTTTGCATAATCCCTCGCCCAAACCAATGACAGGTTAGCTCGATTAGACCATGACGCCGTGAGGTTATGCCCTGCATTTCCAAACAGTTCCATGAGTGCATCTAATCCTTTGTAGTTTACAGGGTCGTTCAACAGCGTTGAGTCTTTGGTTTAAAATTGCAGTAAACTACTAAGTGACAATTCATCAATCCTGCAAAATTGGGAAAACGTTATTTTCAACCTGAAAGAACTCTTTTTCGAAGAATTAAGTTCCACTACAATGAAGGGAAAATAATTTGTTCTCCTCCTCCTAGTTCTTGTCAGTTATCCCTGTCACCCGCAAAAAAAATCAATTTTCTCATCTTGATTATTTTGTAACTCGTCCACCGATAAATCGAGTATCTCATCCCCAAATATAGCCTGGAAGTGAATTCAAATGTCACGTATGCAGTCCTTTCCGTTTCAAGAACTAGTGCTGCTAAATATTCTAATTCGTCGTATGATTATTAATCAGACTGAAACATCCTCTTTTACACCAGCTGTTGAAGAAAAACCGAAGCAATGATTGTGCCTTTCACCATGTTGACAATCAACAAAAGTCGAGGAATTCTGGAAATCAATGTGCCGGTCACAAGCGCGTTTCGTCAAAACGGTTGGAAAAGTGTTTAATACTACAACCAAATCAACCCAAAGCGGTTTTGGTTGAAACCATTGCGGTTGATCCTAATAGAGAACACGGCCTCAATAGCATTGATACCAGCTGCGATTTAGTTATAACAATATTACTTTCACATATTGATGACATTAGATTTTAATCTGTGTTAAGCTTCAGCGTTGCACGCTTTGCTGAGGAAACCCGCTTAACAGAAAATGTCATAGCCTGCGTGGCTGGCGTTACTAGTAAAAGGGGAAGAGTAGGGGGAATTCGGGCGCGAGAGGAGGGGGAAGAGGGAATGCCTGCAAGAACCTAGCCTCCCCCGCAGACATTCTTAGGTGTGCGTCACGCGTTCCTTCCCCACGAACGTCTGCTGACTTGAGCGGAAAAACGTAGACCAATCACAGCAGACTTCCAGATCTGGGAAGTGCACTTTGTACCTTGAGAAATTTCGCGCTTGACTGTACACTTATGTCCAGAAATGCATGCAATGGCGAAAATGGCGAAACTGGCGAAAAATCGCCAGCCGCTGGCGATTTGAATTGGATGCCAAAAGTGGCCCCTTAGAGGCTGGCGATTTTGGCGAAAATGGCCATTTTGGCAAAATTGGCGATTTT